TGGAATGCGGGTGAATTCACCGAGAGGCCCCACTGAGCAAGAAGAGCCGTTTGCTAAACCAGTGAGCAGCTGGTTTCTGTTTTGCTGAGTGCCTCAAACAAGCTTGGAGCTTACACACAATGTAAGGTGGGTGGGGAATCTCATCCAATATTTCTACTAAATAAATGTGGGAGGATCGATCCAGAGTATATATACAAAGAGAGATATATATATATATTTTTCCCCCCTTTGGAGACAGAAACTCACTTAGTCACCCTTGGTAGAGTGCCATGGCATCATAGCTCACAGCAACCTCAAACTCTTAGGTTCAAGTGATCCTCCTGCCTCAGCTCCCCAAGTAGCTGGAACTACAGACGCCCAGCTATTTTTTAGAGACGGGGGTCTCATTCTGGCTCAGGCTGGTCTCGAACCTGTGAGCTCAGCCAATCCACCTGCCTTGGCCTCCCAAGTGCTGGGATTACAGGTGTGAGCCACTGTGCCCGGCTAGAATATATTCTTGACTAGCTCCGGTCTTCTACTCTACATAGAGGGTGTTCTTTCATAATGGATACTTGGGGGTGTTTGCACAGCTCGTGAACCAATAACCCCTTCTTCTCCAGACACTGTGCTCCTCCCATGCACACAATAGGCCTCAGGATGTCACAACTGTAACCCAGACTCTGGGACATGGATGGAGAGGGGACCCAAGTGGGCCACAGTTTTCCTCCCAATAATGAAAAATTGGGAACAAACCGAGTCAACAGTCCCTAAAACAGGTGTTATGGGATGGCCATCTTCTACCACGTGGGCTAGAGCAAAGGAAGTTGGTCTGCTGAGTGGGAAAGAAAGAGAAAGAGAGAACAGGTGACCAGTGTGGTGGCTCACATCTGTAATCCTAAAACTTTTGAAGGCCAAGGCAGGAGAAACACTAGAGGCCAGAAGCTCTAGACCAGCCAGAGCAACGTTTCCAGACCTCGTCTCTACAAAAAATAGAAAAATCAGCAGGGCATGGTGGTGTGCATCTGTAGTCCCAGGTACTGAGGAGGCTGAGGCTGGAAGATCACTTGAGCCTAAGAGTTTGAGGTTGCTGTGAGCTATGATGACATCTCTAGCCTGAGTGACAGAGTGACCCTGTCTCAAAATATAAATTAATAAAAGCAGACTCAGAGGAGCAGAGGTAAGAACAAGACACTGTTAGAAGAAATTTCTGCTTCCAGGCTCTTGCTCTGGGGTTTCTTGAAACATTTTCAATCCTTATAATAAATCCTTCTGCCTCCTTTCCCCCTTAATTGAAAGTGGAAAGAGAATTAGGGTTTGAGGGCTATGAGCTTTTCGGGATGTTCCATATCTCAGCCCAACCTGCCCCTGCGGCCTTTTGCTTTCTTCTCCTCTGGATTATCTCCCGTTTTAGTTACTCCTTTGAGTAACTAAAACAAAGGCAGAGGCATTTTCTACACAAGTCCAGTTGAAGATGCGCGTGTTCCAAAGATGAAGGAACCCTGGGAGGTGAGAAATAAGGACGCCTCCCTCAGCCTTTTCCTGACAGCTTTAAAGGAACTGAAGTCTTCATTAACTTTCAAGGTCAGAACAGTGAATGCCCCTGTTGGAAGGCCTGAACAAATGTGTTTTCTTGAGGCTGAAGAAGTCTGGAAATAGGGGATAACCAAGGGGGGTTGGCAACAACTTGGTGGGGGCCCCACAGGAGAAAGGAGGAGGAAGGGTTAAGGGAGGCAACCCACCCGCTGCCCTCCTGCCTTGGCCCAGCCCTGAATCTCCTGGAATAAAAGATCTGCTTTGTCTTCCATTCTAGTGACAACGGTCACAGTCACGTATTACAAAGCTCCAAGGTCCTTATTCAAATTTATATTCCTGGTGCCTGCATAATGCTGCAGAGAATAGACCTTCAGTCAACATTTGGTGAATGAGATTTCCTCTGTGTATACTATGTACATGTGTCAAACGCTATTCTACTTTTGTTTCCATCTATTTCCTTTTGGGCTTAAAAACCCTTTCATAAGGGTGGTGCCTGTAGTTCAAAAGGGTAGGGCGTCAGCCCCATATGCCGGAGGTGGCGGGTTCAAACCCAGCTCCGGTCAAAAAAAAAAAACAAACAAAAACCCTTTCAAAAGCTCTGCTTGGTGGTGACGTGGCCCTGGGATGGGACTGTGGTAAGGGCTGCCTGGAACAATTTCTACTTCCACAGAGTTTGTAATTTAAGAAAGAGACGACATTGCCCTGAACAAATACAACCCCCAAAGCGTGATGAAGCTGATGCCCTCCTCGTTGCAGGAAATAGGGTCTGGCTCAGACTCCCGTCCGCGGGGCCTCTTCACGCTCAGCCTCTCCCAGCACATCCCATTACAACTTGGCGTCTATTTGTGGTTATCTGTCAACCCCTTTTGTATCTCAGGCTCCCTGGGAGGAAGGATGTGTCCAGTTAAGCGGTTAAGCGCATTGCTGAGGCCCTGGTAACCATATCACCATACCGTGCTCAACAAATATTTGCAAATTCAAAGAATGAACAGCTGTGTCAAAGCAGCGACCAGAGGAGCTGGAGACCAGCCGGTCTCTGCTTGTGCACAGGAGACTCAGAATGACTGAAAGCAAAGAACTTCAGTGGGGGTGGGCAGGGAGGGGACTTTACACTGATTCTGTATTTTGTGCCAGACACTTTCGGCGTGTTGCCCTTTCATGCTCCCAGAAGACTTCTCTCAGATGCAAAAGGCAGCAGCCCGTTCTACAGATAAGAAAACTGAGGGTCAACTTAGGAAGATTCATCTAGTCACACCAGTGTCAGGATTATCCCTCAGGTGTCTTTGGTTACACATTTCACGCTCCTTCTGTTTTTCTTCATGTAGCCTCAGTAAGTCTGTTACATAGCTTAGAAGAAGAATGGTGTGAACGGACAAAGGGAGCTTGGGACAAATGTGAGCAGGATGAAAGGCGAGGCCTAGGGTACCAGGGGTAGAGTGAAGCGGCAGGAGCTGAGGACGTGGAAGTCCATCTGGGTGACGACTGATATCGACAGAGGAAAATCGTTTTTCTCAAGGCTCCCAGGAATCCCGCCCCCCAAACCCTTGGCAGCCAGGGACCCCACCACGCAGTCCAGTTAGAGAGACATGCAGAAGGGGATCCAGGTTTCTCTGCACAACACTAAGTTACAGAAAGGAAGTCATGTTTTTGTCAGCCTCATATAAAAGTAGAAAATAAAAAGAAAAGAAAGGCCAGGCACAGGGGCTCAAGTCTGTAATCCTAGCCCTATGGAAGGCCAAGGAGGGAGGATCACCTAAGGCCAGGGGTTTGAGTTTGTAGCGAGCTGCGATGAGGTCACTGCATTCCATCCTGGGTAACAGAACAAGACCCTGTGTCGATAAAGGAAGAAAAAGGGCTGCGTGCCCATAGCACAGGGGTTAC